GCTGTGCACACGCAGATACTTAACTGATCTTCAGAGACAAAAATAGTAAATAATCTTTCTCCCACTTACTTCTTAATAACTATTTACACACGTCTACAGTGGTGACTACGGAATGGACCTGAGTGAGTGGACACCAGAACCTACTACTGGAGGCTTCTATGGTGCACACACACAATTTTATTTTTGTTTCAAAGTGGAGGTTCTTGTCTCTGCTTTTATATTGCTTCTACTTTTGGGCCTTTTGATGACACATTTTTCCTGGAGGTGGGAGCTTTTTCTCCCTACGTTACCCAAAAAGAGATAGCAATCATGGTCATATAGCCAAGCTACAATCATACCCCATAATTCCACCATTGAGACAAGAACCAATAATAGCTGCTAAACCTTACACGTGACAAGGAAAGCCTAACTCCTGATCATACCCACCAGGAGACACCCAGTAAGCTTAATAACACAACAACATACATACATTTAAGCATTTAAAAACCCACATAACTATTAGAAATGACAAACAAAATATCTCAAACACAACAAACAATCTCAAAACATATCCCAAAACAGAAAAGAGTAACTGAGGAAATGCACTGGAGACAGACAAAGGCTACCCAGAAGAGGAAGAGTAGGTTTTGGATTTGCCTGAGAAATAATTCAGAAGAATGATGTAGAAACTCAAATACTCCAAAAAGGAGTGTAGAAAAACAAGGAAGAAATCGAAAGCACTACAAGAATAATTAAACAAGATTGATACAGCATTAGAAACAATTCAAAACCTGCAAAAAAAGGTCTAGATGATTAATAATAAAATATCAGAAATGGACAATGCACTGAAAGGGGAAAGGAGCAGAATAGAAGAGATGGAAGCCAGAACCAGCAAGCTGGAAAACAAATCTCTCAATACTGTTAAGATAGACGAGCAAGCTGAAAAAAGGATAAAAAAAATCTGAAGCGAGTCTAAGATTCATGCTGGATAACATGAAGAGGGACAACTTAAGAATTATTGGCATTTAGGAATAGGAAGAATCAGAAAAGTCCACAGAGGAGATAGTTGAAGAGCTTTCTGGAAGAAAATTTCCCTAACATCTTGAAAGATGAGAAGATAAACATTCAAGAAGCCA